CTGCATGTAAATAGGCCATATTTGTATTTTCAGTACTGGACTGGAACTGGCTTTCAATGGGGGCTTATGCAATCAATCAATCAATGGGTCGGTCGGTCAGTCGGTCAGTCAGTCGGTTGGTTGATTGATTGAATTGACTGACTGACTGACCGATTGACTGATGGATCAATTGATCAAATGATTGATTGATTGATTGACTGGTTGATTCATTGATTGATTAATTGACTGACTGACTGACTGATTGATTGATTGATTGATTGATTGACTGAATTAAATTGAATTGACTGGCTAACTGACAGACTGGCAGGTTGGCACACTGACTGACTGACTGATCGATCGATCGATCGATCGATCAGTCAATTGATTGAATTGGTCTTCTGTCTATTGCTCTTAGATCTCTGAGGATGATTTTTTACCATACAAATTCTCCTTAAACAACAGTGTGCCACATGTTGTTCTCAACAGATAACCACAAGAAGAACACAGTTGCATTGTTATTTCAAGATGTCACTCTTTCTAATTGGAATACTGGAAACAAAACTGCTTTTCTTCAGAAGATTGTCTTGGATGTAATTAATGTGGCTTGCTCCAACAACCCAAGCAGATGTTCTTTGAATTTCTGGAATGAATCAAGGTACTAACAGCATACAGTTGTACTAGCACATGGATGGCTGGTCCATTAACAGCCTCATTACATGTTAGTCCTGGAAAAAGTTGTTTCTTTTTATAGGGTTTCAAGGTCAAATAACTGAGTAAGGGTTGTTGCTTTACATGTGGGGTGCCTACCATTCAGGTGAAAAAACTGGAAATTTTGGTTAACAGTCAAATAGACACGGAATTTCTGGAAAATCCATTTAGAAATTGCACACTTTCAATTTCTGTTCTAAACGGAAGAGCTGAAATTTCCTTACAAGTTTAGACCATTTGTTGAATTTTCAAATTTCCAATCTTTCATCAACTGAAAACAATTATGGGAAATCAAATTGCAATTTTTTTTTTGTCTCTGTTTCTCAAGGTTCATGGGTTGTCAGATTGTAATTATGTTGATGGCATCCAAAATCATAATAGCAAGTTAGATTTTGAAGTTCAGGGTTTACATGTTTTTGAAAGGTGCAGTAAATATATACTGAAAGCTGATTCTCATTTTCAGAAAATTCAGCATCAAAAATGTGGTTGTGGTTGAGTCTCCCAAACAAGAAGAGATAGATCTCCAGGTGAAGCTGTTTGCCTCTCTGCCAGATGGAAGTGACATACAGAAAGACAACCAGAATATTATCCCGGGAGCAACACTCCAGGAGATTTTACAAGATCACAAGAGCAACATAACATCCGCTGTTGGTGCTGAAATCAAGTCTATCAACATGGCCAGTGATTCTGAATCTGAAGACAACAGCGCTGACAATAAAATGAACTACATCATGATACCTATAAGCTTTTCAGTGTTAATTGTGCTCTGCTTTGTGGCTTGCTGTCTTCATTGTGCCAGGTAGGTCAATAAAAGTAATCCAGGTTGAGTATCTGTTTAAACAGGGAGGGTTTTGCCCACTCCTAATTACACTGTAAGGTGTAGTGTGTTCAAGCCAAGTGGTCTAGCAGGCCTGCGCTTACTTCTAGTTTCCAAAACATCAATTGACTAGGACTATTTTCACTCTCCCTTGGATGGGATGCTAGTCCATCACAGGGTTACCCCAGTATTAATTTTGCCATACCCATTTATCCACCAATTCAGAGAGTAGTATCTTGCCTAAAAAGCACAACGCAGTGACCCTGACCAGGGTTCAAACCTGAATGGATCAATGTAGAGTACAGCGCACTAAACATTAAGCCAGCATGCCACTAAGGTGAATATTGCCTCTTAATATCAGATGAGGACTTACGTTTTTGGCCAGTGAGGTTTATGTGACCTCTCTTTACAGATTTTTTATCCAGTTTGGTAATAATAGATCACACTGGAAATCATTAATTTTTGTCGCCCCATTTTGGAAATCGTTTGCCAACCTTGTGTTCCATTTTAGAGATCATTTTTGTCATCCTTTGTGGAAATTGTTTGTGGTTCGTTTTAATGTTCATTTATGGAGATGAATATTCATAAATCAAATCTTCCCTCACCCCTCTAGTTCTGAACTCACAAACATGTGCGCAACAGAAATCATCACATCGCCTCTGTAACTAAAATGCAGCAAGAATTCTATAGCCTTGTCAACTATAACTGATCACGTTGAACATTCTTAACTGTGTCCTACTGGGCAGACAGGAATCACAAAACAACCTATGTTGACATAAGTATTACCATGAATAGCCCNTCAACTATAACTGATCACGTTGAACATTCTTAACTGTGTCCTACTGGGCAGACAGGAATCACAAAACAACCTATGTTGACATAAGTATTACCATGAATAGCCCTCAATGTGTCTTCTTTCATTAACGATTTTTGAGGGCAAATGACTGCTGAAAATTTTCCTGGAGGATCTTTCTCCAAAAAACATCTATACACGTATATTCAACGGTAACTGCGTTATCTATTCTGAAAATCTTTAATGTGAAATGTATGTAAATGTTCTGAAAGATTCGTAGTCGTTGGCTAACGTTTTTCCCAAGAATTTCAGTCAGCCTGGCACTCACATACTCGGCAGTGGAATTCTAAGTTTGTTGGAAAAAGGTCCGTAAACACTGTGTAATTACTATTTTACCACAATTGCTACTAATCTGGCAATCTGATTGGCTTATTTGCCGTTGTCGATAAGTCGAGACAACGCTGCTCGCGTCAATGTGTCACGCAATGTCTTTTCCAGCTCGCGCTCTGAAAAATCATTTTCTTTGACGTTGATATTGTGGTAAAAACACAAATCAAAATGTGGTTTAGCGTTGTCAGTACTCTTATCGACAACGATACGCTTCATCACAGTGGTCAATAAGCACTTAATGACTGACCCCAAGGGAAACAGTGAGTTTTGTTTCCCCGAGACCCTCAGTGTTTCCGGAGGCGAAGCCTAGGGGAGCATTGAGGTCGAGGGAAAACAAAACTCACTGTTTCCCGAGGGGCCAGTCATTAAGTGTTTTGTTATGCCTCCCAACTCAAAAATAGAAAAAAACTGCGAAAAAATTATGTATACGAGCGCGGCGTCGACAAAACCTGGATCGGACCGGACCGGACCGGACCGGATCACGGATTGGATCACGGATCGGATCACGGATAGGATCACGGATCGGATCACAGAAAAAAAAAACGTTTTAAAGAAAAAAAAAATCAAATCGTTTATAAGATAATAATAAATAAAAAATAAAAGTGGAAAAC